AAGCAAATAGGGAATCAACCATGCCTTTACCCCTTGCCCCTATATCAAACCTCCAGCTGTCTTGACCTTTCCTTTTGTCCTCCTGCATTCGTCCATGCTAGGTTGATTCCCTGTCTGCTTGTCATTTTGCCTTAAGAAAGATTCTACTAGGATCGGAACGTCAGGCCCGCCATATTTTGTGATTCCTTTTGATAAGATTTTTTTACCTGGGGTCTTCTGAGGGGAAATGTGTTTTGAGAAAATCAAATGGTTCACATGAATGTTTTCATTTGGCTTCCATTTTTTTTACATTTAAAGTAATATCTAAAAGCTGAAAAATTAAGAGTAAATTCTGATTGCTTCATTTTTTTTCTTCTTTTAACACGGGAATTCACAAAAGAGTAAAGTTGTCCCCGCACACTCGTGCCTGTCCACACTCACAAAAAAGCTCAACAGTTTGGATAAGGCACAAGTATCCTTTTGGCAATGCATGCAATGCACCTAACTTTTCTTAAACGTTTCATCACCTTTTAAACTAAGCTGTCAAAGCAGGCTTTCTTGGATAAAGTTATAAATCAAAGTGTATGTTAATTTGAACTGTCCCCAAAACTGACAGACTCCAGCTTTGGCAAGGCTGCCCTTAATGAAAAAAAAAGAGTAAAATCACATGCTACCCAGATTCCAATTTATGGTTTTTTTTATCACTAAGTGGTCCAAGACACCACCTTTAGAATTCTGTTCACCTTTCCCTTTCCTAAATCTCCTAGCAACTATGTACAAGGGACCCATGTACATGTACATCTATGCAATTACTATACATGAAATATAATCTTCATATGTAAGGCCCCCCCAAAAAATAGCCAGTATCTGGTCATTTTGTCGATTTGAACATGCAAGTCAATTTTTTTTTTCATTTTTTCTCTAAAATGTTAAAAACAGTGCCCTCTATTTCCGCACTGCCTGAATATTCACGAGTAGACTGATTCCTGGCCACAAGTCCATAAGTCGGAAGGGTAATTTGTTCAAGGAACCAGTCTACGGTAATTTGTGGGTAGCTTGTACCCAGTGATAGATCCGTCATGACTGCGTTATATTGATGTCGAACACAAACAGTAGCCCATGGGTAGGTTACAAAGTTGCAGCCAGCTGATCAGCAACAATGGCGGCATGATGTGAGACGTGCTACTACCAGCCTTTGCTCTTCGATTAAATATGCCACTCATGTCCGTGTCCATTGCCAGTCTTAAAAAGGCCAACCCGTCCCTCCAAAAAAAATAATAAATATAACAAAACAAAAAAACAAAAAACGCATTGCCGCATCAATTCTGGAACTTTGGTCTGACCAGAGACCGAGTTGTTTTTTGTTTGGCCTAATGTATTATTTATCACCTTTTTGTTCAATGCGCTAAGAATCAACACATTATCATGGTCAGAGAACTGCAAGAATAAAGTAGTCAAAGGCGAAGAAAAAAAAAAACAACCAGCAGTGGCAGAATGATGAAATCTGACAGGGTGGCAGATGATTCATGGATCCATGAGAGGTAGTAGTATGCACCCAGCAAGCTACGAAGTCCTGCCCATAAGTTGTAAATAATCCCTCCATCCTTTAAGGGGATCACACCAATATGATCAAGAGTTGATTCATTGGAAGCCCTACTTGTACATTTATTTGGATACCTCATACACTGTATGGAGGCTTGATATTCGTTCTAGTGTGTGATGTCATCCTTTTGAAAAACTCACACTGCAGCATTTATGAAAAAATACATTATTCTTCATTTTCATGATTAAATTTTTCCTTTTCAAATAGACTCCTAAATTTGAATATAGAGTATGAAGAAAACACAAGTTAAATTAAAAGTTTTAATAAATAACATTTTGGGAATAATCTGAAGAAAACAACATTGAAAAAAATTGGAGCTTCAACTTAAGTGTTTGATTATTTTAGACATGATTAATTCTTATTCTCTTCTGTATCAATTAAACACTATTCAAAAATTAATGTGTGAGGGGTCATCCAATAGAACACTGCACGAATGTTAAAATGCTTCTTCAAACAAAAGCATCATTTTCGATCTTGTCTGAATTCAATCTTGCTTAATGCTCAGCCTCTTGAGTAACACCTCTCCAGAGTGTAGCACATGTGAAAAAAAATTCAATGTACACGAACTTTATGAATCCATCCACCTAGAGCTTTCTAGATTTCACTTAAGCTTGATAAACACTATAAATTATTTCTTTCTGTCTTCTTGATGCATGTTTATATCTTTTCAGATTTGTTTTCTTGGTAATGGTTTAACTCTTCTTGCACCACCACCAAAAAGTGTGAAGACCCTAGGAATGTTGCACAACCCACACCCCTTGACCTTATCCAAATATTCCCCAGCCATATTGGAAAGTCTGACCAGTATGGGTAATGCAGTCTCTTCATAAATGAATTGACACATAAACAAAATGGGTCAATCAGAGAGAAAACACACTCTCATGATAGAATATGCCCACTTCATTTATGCTGGCCTAGTGTAGATGGTAGGATATTTCACATATACAGAACAGAAGGAGCCGAGAGGTTCTCTCTGGAGACAGCAGCAGCACATATGGTGGTTGATGCCACTCACACCATATTATGGGCAAACTGTTTTGTTAAAAGGTTTCTTTACAGCTGCATCTAGACGCTATAAAAACAAACACTGAGTTGTGTTGCCAAGAGAGGGGATGATTAAAGATGCAAGTTGCTTAGATCAAGCCGATTAAGAAAGCTATATTTGGTAAACCACATACACCTCAGCCTTATTTCCCACTTCCCAACAGGTTTGGTGGTTTAACTTGTGTAAATATTTCCAAAGGCCAACAAAATTAATCCCCGGTTATTAAAACTCTGTGCACTGTCTTTGTGTCTAAAGTAGATATCATAATAAATTAAACTTCCACTCTATAACAGGGAGAAACAAGTGACGATAGACTCAAAAGAATCAGCTTTTAATCTAGGTCAGAGCATACAACTTTCATAGAATGAGTGTTTGGTGCTGAACGTAAATACCAATTAAATATTAATAAATGAACAATGAAGAGAAGCCAAGCATACATGTACATGTATATTGGGCTGCCACAGGGAACCCTTACTCACATCCATGCAATGCTTATTCAGTTGCTTCCCGCACAGACTGTGACTCACAACAAAAGGGTTGATGTATTCAAATCACAAAATTAAAGATTCTGAATAAGAAAAAACTAAGAGGAATGGACAAAATCAAATGCAGAAAAGAAATTGTTCTCACCAAATCAGAAACAATTTCCGTCAAATACTAAGCCTACATGTAGTTTACTTGAAACCACCCTTAAGACTAACCATGTACTTTACTGATTTGGTTTGGTTATGAAAATGTCACATTCCAGCCAATTTGGCTGCTTGAAATTACACAAATTGATCACTCTATGCACTTTCCACTTTCCCTTCTTGCCTGGCACTCTCTACAAATACTATAGAAGTGACATGGACAGCCAAGTGTAACTGGTCCCTACCCCACAGTGAGTATACAGGCAGAGTGGTGCCGGAACAGCAGGTACATGTAAAGTGCTCTCAACAACTGTCTTCTCCAATCCAGACCCAACTTGTACATGTACACCAGACAAAATGTACTGCATCTGTATTCCCTGCATACCATGGCTGCCTACAATAAAGTAAGACTTTGAAACCTGAAACTGTGTACATGTACAAGCCACAAAAAAGTCAGACTGCCAATCCTTTCACATCATCTGCTATGTCACCCTTCAAAAAAACTGCATGATTCAAGGCCAATCCTGCCTAGCCCTTTTTCCCAACTGACCACAGTGCCCAAGCATTCACTGGGTCATCTTTTATCCATATTTGCAATAAAAAAAGCCCTGATGAAGCGTCATCAGAAGGTCTGTAAAGGCATACTGGAATAGAATGATTTTCCACATGCCTTAACGGTGTACCATTCATGTACATTCACATACACAAGCTAACAACACGCGCGAGGTTTTGTTTAGAATGAATCATGCTCGGCATGCACAGTACTGGTTCACACTACACTGCCGAAAAGATTACAGCAAGAGCCATAAAAGATGAACCGGGAGCCAGACTACAGCCCAAGAATTTGTAATACTTGACCAAACATTTGACACTGCGCATTGTCACATGCTTAAAAACACCAGCAACAATAGAAACTACCAACATTTTCAATGATGATTATGATCAAGTCATTCCCATTTTGGTCTCCCATTCTGCAGTAAGTATGCATATACAGAAGTATTCAAATTTGTTGTAGCATTTTGCACAAGAGTGTCTTCAAAGCATGGCATGATTTACACAAATGGTAACTGGCACACATGGCCTTGCAGTCCATACAAACTGAAATCACACTGTCTGGACCATGGAAGCCTTTTTCCCTGAGCAAGTATTTTTCTCCAGTTTCAGTCAGCATTGCTATCATTAATAATGATAGCATGGCCTCTTTTCCTTAGGAAAAAAATACTGGTCTTGATATTCCTTTACTGTGGCTGAATTATATATATTATGTTCATGGGAAATTTTTCCCCTAAGTAAGGGAAATCATATTGAACCTCATCTGGTTATTTTGGATAGATGTGTGAAAGTAAAATGCATGGGTTTACGGAAGTGGACACATTTTCCAAAGCTTTGCTTGCCTCATTTCTGCCTGTCTTACCACAACCAGCTAGTCATTCCATACTATGACCCTTAGTATGAATTTTGTGTATCAAATGCATATGTAATTTTGCATGCAATAAAGTAATGACACAAGTGTCTCTGTTTTTTCCCTTGTTCTCTCTGATTCAAATATGTAAAACAACGTCAAAAGCAGGTATCTGCTTGAGCACAATGTATCCATGAATGACTAAACAGAATTTCCACTTGTTCAGAGTAACACCCCAAGTGGCAATGACAATGCAGTCTGAAGCATCTAGCAAAGTTGGGTACTTTTATCTGAACAAGCAGCTGAGGATAAAGACAAAAAGAATATTTAATTAAAACTTACGTCGAGGATTTTCTTCTGTGACAGACTCTAAAAAATCTTGCATTGTCATGTAGATCTGGCCATTGTATTCACAGGAGGCAAAGGCCCTGAATCGCTCCTCCTTGTCTGAAATGGGATAGTTTGAATAGTCATCAGCCTGTAGAATTGTATAAAAAGACATAAAAAAAGTGAAACCTCATTAAAACATCTTGCTTCTCAATAACTACAGCTTTTGCACCATCAACTGGGAGAAACAAATCCCACTTGTTAATTTACACTTTAAGTTGTGATGAAATAGGCATCTGTGCACAATCATTTATACAAGAAATAAGGAAAAGTAACCATCTTATTATAAGAGTACCATGTGAAGTACTACACACATACTCCCATAGTTCAACCACAAGCCCCTGCCATCCATCATTGAGTCTGTATGTACAATGTAGGTGCAAGAGAGGTTGACAGTTAGACAAATCGCACATGCAAGGCAAGGTCATCAATTCCCACATTTTAAGAGACAGATGCCAAACCAAGTGTTACTTTCTGGTTAAACTGTATTATATGCTTGGCATATTTCTGGAGAATGCATTCCAAGATATTTACTGCCACCCCGAGCCATCTTCCTTGAAAAAGTAAAGCTTGTTTGACAGTAACTTTGCTTTCAACTGTCAGGTGTACCAATGGATTCTACATCAGTTTTCTTGGAGAAAAGATTCATGCAGACAATAAACAGCACACCAACACTTTGCAAGTGTCAACATAGTGGGTTTGCAGGTCAAGGATAGCAACTGCAAAAAGGTTTTGATGTTTGCATTACTTGGAATGAGTATTTCCATGGCAATGGGAATGGAGTGGTGGAGCAAATTCCAACATTTAATTAGAAGTAGGCCAAACAAAAGACCACAATAAATCTCTTTATGGACTTTGCATCCCAACAAATGTAAAATTTGCAAATTTTGCATTATGCACTCTATTCCTTAGCAGGCAAGCCTTCCATCTTCTTGATCTGCTATACACAAAGACACATTTTGTTCAAACAGAGCTATTAAATGCACATGTAGTTTCCTTGCCACATGTGAGTTCTTTTGTACAGTGTAAATTATTTAATTTGGCATGGTTTGGTGAACATAGCAGTACTTAATCCCCAAATGTTTGCAATTACTTTTATACATTTGATAATATTGTAAAGTAGTTTGTTTACATGTGTATTTGATTAGCTTCCACAAGTTGACTCGGGTTCAATCTCACTCAATGATCTACCTTGCTTGACAGAGCACACACGGCCACCTTCCTGAGTTGCCCATGTAAGCTGATCAAACCATGGAGGAAAGAAAATACAACACACAATCTATCTTGAGATTTTTTCTTAAAGAGTTGAAAGTGTCTTAAAACCAAATCAACCCATGACAATTACAGCTGGCAGATTTTTGTGACACCTCAGGGCCGCATCTGATTAGTGTTACCGGCAGCTACTTCATTTGTTGTTGCTAATACTGGGTGCAAAAATCGCACAAAACAATCAGCTATTTACTGGTATGTACTTTTGACCCAAAAGTAATACACAGCACTCTTGTAAATGATTATATCAACTTGTTGTTGTTTACTACATGTACACGTATCAGGTTACTCTTGCTGTTCCGGGGTAATGTCAACGCACCAACAAAAAAGTATTACAAGATTCAACCATTTTAACCTACAAAAAGCCCTAGTACCTCTATCTATTTATCCATTTGAACCCATTCATAAATACCTCTGACAGTCTTCCTATTCAACAACATGCAGCTTGACTGTGTATTAACATTTAATAATGCCTGCTGAGAAGTGATAATGCCCACTGCGTTAATCATGCACTGGTACCTGGATAAGAGATAGTTTAATCGATTCTGATTGGTTAAGAGTATGTATGCACGCAGCTCGCCACGCATGCACCAAGTCCATATAAGGAAATTCTTTTGGACAACTATAAAATAAAATGGACAGGGTTGTTCGGGGAAATGAAAGTAAATTCTAGAACAAAATTGTTGGAAATCCGTCTTATATTAACTTCTTTTGAATCTCTGACTAAAAAAGGGATTTGTGATTGGGAATGACTATGTGCTTGGCCGGTCTTAAACTAACATTTAACACCAGCTGAGGAGACTGAACATTGATAATGGCTTGCCTGCAACTTGGGCATTAGTCACGCCCATTCTCCTTAGTCGGTCTTAAATGGACCAGCCAAGCACATTTTTATTCCCTTACTATATCCCTAGTTCCCTAATTCCTGCCGTGGGGATTAATGTAATATTGTATGTATCCTCTTGTAAGCAGAAAATTTAGTTCGGCCTTTTTGCCTGATTCTTATATGTTAAAAAAAAAACAAAGTCAACTCTGTGCCAACTAGTCCAATGACCAGTAGGTCACTGATACATAATTCAGGCACGACATATACTTGGGAATTAGGCTAATCCATTAATAACTACTTTCCCTCTCCTCCCCCTCCCCCAAGCGGAAGCAACATATGTACCACAACCCCTAAGACTTCAAAGGGCTTAACCACACCAGAGCCCCTAGGATGTGACCACACTATGAAAGTACAGTCAAGTCACCATCTTGCTCTTGTGTTAGTATTCTAATAGTTCCATGTACATGTATGGTTCCATGCACAATGAATTGCAAACAAGACCACAGGCAAAACTAAAAAAGGGTCTGAGCTGGTATTATTTTGATAATACTGGTACCTGTGTGCTGAATAATCAGCCCCACGACATTCACACTCTTAGTCACTAGCTGTCATGATTGTCACCCTCCCTATCACTGACAATTGAGACATTAGCATCCTAGGGTGAAGTCATTCTGATAGCTGGTGGGTCAAAGGCAAAGCCCTGGAGATAACTCGGCCAGGTAGAGGGACCGCCAACAGGGCTCACATGAATATCAGAGCAGGGAGCATGCTGCATTTGGTTTAGAACAAAAATACTCAGCCTGTTCCCCAAAGGGTCTTACATGTATGGCAGGTTACTTGTCCACATATTTGAGCTTGTCTATTATGGAGTTTACTTAAGGCTGGACATTATAAAGTACATACCGACTGACCAAGGCTTTATAATGCCTTTTCGCATACTTTTAGTTACTGAAGTTCATATTCATGACTTAGTCTGTTAATCAGGCTTTATTATTGAGTGACTTCATCCACTGCATTTACTGCATTACCAGTAGTATGTGGTACAAGACACTTCATGCTGCAATGCACATGCGGTCCCAGGCTTCCCTGGAGGCAAATTATCGGCATGCTCAGAAATTACTCCTGGAAAATGATTCTTGGATTACTTGCCATGTCCCATCAACGTAATCCCACCCTGATACAAGCTCTAGCTGTGCCTGTGTCGCCTGCCCCATTTGAGCACCACCAGGCTCTCTTCAAAGATAATAGAGTTGTTCTTTGATGAACTTGTACTTCATAAACCAGAAGCCTGGCTGGCCTCTGGCCTTTGTGTGAGCAGACACACAGCAGTTGGTTTGGATCTAAGATTTCATTCCTGGTTTTTTAGCCAGCTGAGATGCAAGATGATTCTAAATATCATGACAAAACAGTTGCCAAGGGTTACTGATTGGACTCCAATTAACTGTCCATAAAACCTCTATGAATATAAACATGTCTCAAACAATAATTCTATGGCTTTTTAGGATGAAATTTTTGAAATGTTTTGATAAAACTGAACTACTGTAAGACTCATCCAATCAAGACATTGGGGGAAAAGCAGTCATATCCCTGTTGTTAAGTTACTGTACCAAGCCTCAATGTAAAAAACAAGTGAGGAAAGGCTCAATTTAATTCCATGAAAACAGCTCCACATTGTGAAACACACTTGGGTACTGATACACTGAAACAGGGCTTGCAAAGTCACTCTCTCCAATGCATCATCACAAAAGCATACTTTAGGGACCATCAGAAATGGTGGGGATGTGGGATGGCCTGGAAAAACTGAGTGGAGTACTGGTGTATCACCAATTCGTCCAATTATTTCAAAAACATGTGTACATGTATGTGTGTATATGCAAGCCTGTTGATGTGAAATGGACATTGCTTACAGTGTGTGGGATAAAATAACCACACACTAAGTTTTGATTTTAACCACCCAGCATTTCTAAGCCACATACATATCCCTTATGCATACCATTTCTAATGGTCCCTATTAATTGAAACGTACATGCACATGTACCATTTCTTGATCTTAAAATTCTCTGAGGTATTCTAAATATCTTCTGCAGCATGGCCAAAGTGTTGTAAGGTCCATTCCAATGCAATGGTTGATGGGCATGGGAATTTATGCAGCCCCATGCACTATATCAAAGCAAACTTTAGACTACTGCAATAATCTTGGTGGGAAACATGCTCACCTTGGTTTGATGGTCGCTGTTTATTAAAGGTAGAACACACCTTAAGTCTAATCTCAAAACGGTACTGCCAAATAGTCTTTAAATACACATATCTTAGTTGTGAGTAACTAAATACCGGTATCAGACAATCTAGGAAATCTTTCTGCCAAAAATGCTGGTACATGTATATTCAAGACAACAGAAAATCTGTATTTTTTTGCAATGACCGTCCATTTTGTCAATCATTGGTACATACAATTTTTTTCAGTATCATAACCTTTTTGAGCACAACAAAAATTTCATTTTCACATAGCACAATGCCTCATTCAGTTCATTGCAACGGCTACATGCAGTGGACACTATAACTCATGTGTGCGTATGGTGTGTGGAGCTGTTTAGAGCAGTCTACATGAATGTTAACAATAAAACTATCAACACCAGTGCTGAGAGTTGAGTCGACAGCCTTCAAGGTCAAGGCCCAGTCTTGAGTCTCCCAGGTGAAGGCCAAGATGGAGTCATGATCAGTGCCTTTCAAGGCTGAAGTCACAGTGTCTAAGGACAAAGCAAGTTATGATACAGACATGTATACAAATAAAAAACATACATAACTTCATTCTTGCTCATACTTTACAGGTAGTTACCATTGAATAATACAAGTTGTCAATTAAGAAATTAATTGGGATGTGTACTGATGGAGTGTGAACGGTTGACCAATGATTGTGCATGTCATCACAACAGCAGTCACTTTACTGCACAATGAAGTGATATTCATTCAACAAATCTTCAGTATTTCATTGTTAA